TATATCTTTATGTTTGAAGCCTGAAATGTGGCAAAAGGTTGAAAAGTTCAAGGGGGCCGAATACTTTCGCAAGGCACTGTATATTTGATCAAAAAGGTTGTAAACTCGTTATAATTGAGACAATCCTAAAATAAACACTCACTTTAAGGTACTACAGCAAATTATTACAAATAAAAAGACATTAAAATTATGGTTATAACATGCTTGAAGTAAAATTTCCATTAAGTTGAAAATAGGAAAATCATGAATTTACAGACAATGTTTTCCTGCTTGGGCATTGTTGGAATAACAAACAAAAAACACTTTACTTTCCTTTCTTTGTATAGGTAGAACAGACAGAAATATTCAAAAAGTTGCTTTATGGAAAAATTGGGACAGATTATTCATCAAAGTGTATTGGAAGTCTTTGTCATTACATTTTCTCTGCACAAAACTTTACCATCATGGTTGAAAAAATATTCTACACACCGACCATAGCAGCAGTTCCCTCCTGTGAATATTCTGTATTGCAGGAACTACTTAATGGCATTCATTCCCCGTAAATGAGAAATCATTATAGAATTAAAAAAGAAAGTGCTTTATTGTAGTGGAAGTAAAGATGTTGTAGTTGACAAACAAACATATATATATATATCCTGTGTATTTAAGTACATATATACATACAGTTAAATTGTACACATTATACTAAACCAAACAAAAAATACTGTTTAAAAAATACAACATTCAATACAGTTAGATTGACGATATACAGTATAGTTATTACGTGCATATATTTTGTTTATTTACATAGCTTTTAGGTGTCTGTAAGGTTTTCTTTTTTTACAAGTAGTTTAAGTGATAGGATAGCATTCAGGCTTCAGGTTTTCATCATATAGTATAATGATTTCAACTAAACCATTCCGCACAAGATAAACATTTACAGTGCATACAAAATGAAAGAAGGGTATTTAAACATAGGATTCTTTTGCATAGGAAATCTCCTCAAATAACGGCTGGCTACATCTGCGGCTGACTCTTTCAAGTCTAGTTCTTGATATGGATTCAGACATGGCTCTCTGACGGAAAGTGCTTGTGTGTTCAGTTACAACAGGCCCATGATTCTCACTGTCTTTTTCCTGTGCATAGCAGTCACTGAACCTGTTGATGGAACATGGATAAAGGAGATCCTCAGTTAATGAAGAGGGCCTTCTGTTTATGGACATCTTCCTTCTAGCATCCTGAACTGTCAGAGACTTGTATTCAGGGGGAGCAGGGGTGGTTCCACTTTGAATAGCCTGCTCATAAGATGGGGGATTGCTAGGTTTTCTGCTGTCGACATGTCGAAACACTGCACTGGGTGACACCGTGCGAGACTGGGGCTGTGGGTCTGCAGGTTCGGCTTCGTTTTGGGAGTCCTCTTGGAGAGTGTCACAAGAAAACTGGTTTTCCTTCTGAGAGTCTCTCTTGAGACTGCTCCTGTTGAAGTTGGAAGGGCCCCAGCTCTTGGCCTTGAAAAGGGGCTTCTTTTCATTCCTCACACAAAAGGACTGGGAGTGTTTCTTAAGGTCTTTTTCGGGCTTCTCGCTGTCCTCAGCAGCCTTGGCAGAGAAAGACTGGTGCCTTGAGAAGAAAGACTTCTTGGGGATGGATGGGGATGCCAGTGGTGAGCTGGTGAATACAGAGTTCTCAGAAACTGTGGAGAAGGAGCTTTCCAAGGAGCAAGTAGAAGAACCTTTTGAGGAAGGTGTCTTGCACAGTTCCATAGTCAAGCTGCTGCTTAACTTCAAGCAGGACAGTGGTCTTCTGTCCCCAGAATGATGCATAAGAAAGGAATCATCGGAGTTCTGTTTTTTAAGGGGCTGGTCCTCAAAGCTGAGATCATCTCTTTCCACTGAGAAATCATCATGACTCCTGGCCAGTTTGTGAGTCTTTAGTCCTCCAGAAGGGAGAATATTAGGCTCTGAACACCTTCTGTTAAACCTCTTGAGTTGTGTAGGACAAGTTCCAATGGCTGTTCTCTCATCTTCACAGACTGAAGAGAGAGGGCTGGCAGAAGTCTGCTCCTGGTCATCCTCCTCACCCCTCTCTGATAGTTGCTTCCTAGCATGATCCCCAAGGTCTCCATCTGCATCAGTGCTGTCATATGCAGAGTCATGCTGATGTGATGATAGCGTATCTGAATGGAAAAAAATGATTTAATATAGAGTTGGTCAAGGTTACATACACTTATTTTTTTCTTCCTAGAAATACAAATTAAACCATCAATCATGCAATGTATTGTATATGAAACCAGAATCTCAGTTTTAAAATGGAAAAATTAGAAAAAAAGATTGAGCTGTACTTTTTTAAAAACTTGAACCATTGTTGGTTCGTGTCTTTACATGTTTGAACAATGTGTTTTATATTAAGCTAAATATAACTAAATGAATGAAGCTTTAGTCTGACCTACAGAACAGTAGTGGCAGCAGTAAATTTTACCTGAGTTATCAGCCAACTCCTCTTCAGGGTCCCCGAGAAGTGACAAGATGTGTTCTCCAAATATTTCACAGCAGTTCTCAATCATAAACTGAGTCAGGGTTGTTACCTGTGAGAAATAAAATTAGAGCAAACAGCCATTAGCCTTCAGCCAAGTCACTTACTGGCTAAAACAAAACAGCAATAATTGGAATGTACCTGATACTGTTCTATGTAATTGTCCTTGAAATTAATATTATATTTAAAAAAGGTTTTTCCATCCAGCACAATTAAAAAATAAAGTCTATGCCATATTGAAGAAAACTTTTTAAAGCATTGAAACTCTTATAATGAAATTAGCACTTTTGCTCTCTTGTTAAGATCTCAATATGGACTCTTACTGTTAATATTAGTCTAGGATGAATTCCATAGCTTCCAAGTATCTTTTGACAACTTTTACTGACAGCTTTTGTGTGGGTCTGCAACCTAAGCAGCTTCTTTAACAAAAGGTCATCTTCCTGTTGTCTTGCCCAGCACAGTCACTCACCTTTTCTGTCATCTCTTTCTGGGCTTGAAGGGGCAATTTGCTGTCTAGCAGCATGTTAGGCGCGATGCAAACTGCCAGGTTTTTAGCGTCCATCCTATTGATCTCTGCATTCTTACTGATGTGGTAGAGCACACACAGAAGGTGCTGCAGCAGAACAATGTTGGGCCCTGGGAGTTTGGCTGCAACCCTAGGAGATGAAACAAAACAAAAAGTAAGTCAGCTGCATCATGTTCTGTGCAACTTCCTCTTTTTTTTACAGAAACACCAAAGAAAGAGGAACACTAGGTGTTCACTGAAGTACTGCACTTCCTAATTTAGTCAGTCTTGAAAAATCCATTGTAAAGTCCCTGTCTGTCTCTTAACCCCAAGTCTACAAATAGAACTTATTAGAATAAGTATAGACCCAGAGGGTTTTGATTACTGTTTGAGGGACATTTCTATTTGATCCCACTTGACATTTCACACTTACAGTTTTAGTTCTTCATGTTTCTCTTCAACACTGTTCTTCTCTACAGCTGTCATCCAGGAGGGAGACAGTTCTGTCCTCAGCAGGCCATTTGGGATGTGTCTCAGGAAATCCTACAATCAATGCATGCATTTCAAATCATGTAACTTGGTAAAAGGTAAAAAAATATATAACAGAACTGACATAACAGTGTCATTTGTCTATTATTTATTACATAGTGAAACATAATATGTGCTGTAGAACATCATCCAGTGGTAATTCCACAGTGTAATTTACAACTGCTAAGAGGTTTAGCAAGGATAAAATGCAAAAGGGATCCTTTTTCTTAATATTGTACTGTTGAATGCATAAAGAAGAGTAAATGATTTATTTTTACCTTTAAGACAGCAGCAAGTAGTATTATTGGCTTTGGCTCCAAGTTGATCTCTGTTCCAGCATTTAGCTGCTCTTTGATCTCTTTGCAAGCTTTGGCATTCCCAGCTTTCCTGAAAATGCCCTCAGTGGTGGTGCCTTTCTGCAGTAGCAGAGTGAGAATGTCCTAGAAATTAAGCAAAAGAAAATCACGTGAGATAAAGAATTCACCAGTGAATCTGTTTTGTGTAGATCATCAAACACGCTAATACAGTATATAATGGATACAGCAGAGACTATTGCACATTGGTCCATAAACACCCCTCACAGAAGTCAGCTTCTGTCAGAAAGCAATGACTGTAACTTAATTTTGGGGTGTTGGGGTTCCGTCCACGTATAAAACACTACAATTATTGCAGAGAATAATTGAATTATTGCAGAGAATAATACATACCATGATGGGCTTGGGAGGTTTCTCATCCTCAGCACAGATGTCAGACAACTGCCGTCCAAACACAGGAATGTTCTGGTCAGGGTCTGAACGATTGGAAGAGTTGGACAGTGTAGAACTCCTCCTTTGAAAGGGCCAATTCAAAACCTTCTTCCTTTTCTTGTTGTTTTCTGCTTTAAAACACAGAACAAAATGTTAGTTGTTTAAAACATACTGGCGGTGCATTTCATACATTTATCTAGTTAGCGTTTTCAGTGGGAGCCATGCCTGGGGCTTCCACAGTACCGGAGAAAATCACTTCAAATTACAAGGGAAATAGTTGTATCATGTGCCTATTATTGAAGCTGCATACCAAAGCTGAACAGCTGGGCCTCCAAGCTAAACAATGTTTTTTTCAGATAAATTAAAGGTACAAAATCCAGTTTCAGAATTTTACTGGTTGATCAAAACATGAATGACAACATGTGTAAGCACAAGGTCTTGTTTTCTGTTGCTTGTTTTGTTTGTTGTGTTTTTTATAGTATCTTCAATACACAGCCATGTTGGTGTTTTTTCAAAAATGCATATAATGCTGTGGAGGGGTTAAACACAAACGTGGCCACAGACAGGATCTGAAAATTTTGAACTCACCAATCGTTTGGCATGTTCCATCCTCCATGTCACATGGCGTTGGTGAGTGGCATGTTTTGGCATCACCCTGGAGATGAACACATGTGGTCAGGCCACTGAGAACAGCAAGGCACACCACGCCCCATGTATGAGAACAAGACATGAGCTGCTAACTGAGGCTCTGCTAATTCTCCATTTTACAGTCTGCATGCTGCCCCCACGTGATACTCTACATTCAAGCGGTTTCTCGCAGCCTATTCACACAAGACAAGAACCCCAAAAGAACCTGTAAAACAGTTTTTTTCTTTTTTCTGATGATCTTGCCTTTACACATTCATTTAATGAAGTACATGCTTGTGCAGTCACAGTACACGATGCCAAGGTTCTCTCTTAGCTATCAAATCTATCACTAAACAAAACTAAATCAAGGCCAGTGTATCATTTGTTACAGTAAATATGGGAAAAAATACTTACATCCAAACCCGATTCGATGAGTGAATCCATATTGCCACCACTTAGTGTTTTAAACTAAAAAAAACAAACCAAAAAAAGAAGATAAGTCAACATATCTAAGCTCTATGACAGTTTTAGAAAAAATCTCACATTTAAAATAGAGGGATATGACTGAAGCAGAATGTGGGAACTTACTGCAGTGCTTCCACTTAAGACCTTCATGAGGATATTTGTTGTTGGTACCCTGAGAACTTCGTTGTCCTTTGCTTCTTTAATTTTCCTAAGACAAGATGGAATAATTCAGTCATTCACTGCATAATCCTCAGCATGTTAAAAGCCATGTGTAAAGCATGACAAGATGTGTTAGTGCCTGTAAGATATTAGCCTGGAGCAGTGGTTAGAATTCGGTGCTTGTAGTTAGAATTTGTGGGTCCAATTTCCAGGTGAGAAAGAGCTGTGGCATCCTTGAGAAAGATACTTCACCATAATAGCTCTGGTAAAATATGCTACTGTGTAAATGGGTGAAAATGTAAATTGCTTTACAGAAAAATCTCAGTGAGGTTGATTAATAATTAGTTTTTGTTTTTTACTGGGTCCCTGTCTACTCATTACAGGTGGTTCAAGTTTACAAATGGAACAGGTGAAATGATAACTGCACTACACAAAATAATAGGTGCACTAAACATGTGGGTTGATATGCGGGAGTGAGTGTGTTTTGGTATGACAATTTGCACAGAAACAGTGTACTACCAGTATCACAGATAAAAACAAAAAATAATTTGTAATTTGTTACTATGGTTGACAATTATTTTATCTGTAATACAACTCCACTGTTCATTTCCCACAATGAATTGGCATGAAGAACCTGCATTAAAAATATGTACTTAAAGTGTACTTTAAAAAGAAAACCTTCTCGTATATGAGGGTAACTTTCAGTTGACTAATACATAATTAATCTTAATGGACAACCCTAAGAAAATTAGGAAAATCAGTTGTGTGTGGAAAAGTTAAAAAAGACAGAAATGCTTCTCTAGTTAATAACATTTTTTAATTATAAAACACTACTTTATAGCATTTAATAGACTTATTGGTCAACTGTTAAAAATATCGAACTACAACACAAGACAGGACTTACCAGTGAAGAGTATCTAACCAGCGTTCTTTCACCTCAGGGCAGCTGCAGGTGAGAAAACAGCATGATTTTAGTTACTATTCCACAGCAGAAGCAGAGAGACACTAAACAGAGGAGGCACAAGGCGCGCTGTATTAAGGGAGGAGGTGGGGGTGGTGGAAATTCTCAGAGTAATGGAGACAGGAAGCAGCATCACGGACTCTCACTGAAAACACCTAGACTTCCCATTTCCTTATTGAGCAGCCGTCTCATTTTACTTTTAGGCTGTGACACGTGGAAACAGTGACATACAGTATCGTGCTGTGTTGTCTTAATTCTGCATCACCTGGTTGGCCACAGTGAGGTGAGACCAGATAAATACACCACACTGTAATCAGATGTAAATGTTACAAACTGCTCATCAGCCTTAATGTGTTAAGACGGGTAGAAACAACATTTGAATTGTGTTGTTTTTCCCAGCTGAATACTGCATTGTACTGTTGCTGATCATTTGTAAAATGACAAAATTAGTATGCGCTCACAATAATGTTAAGATTTTCTCGTGAGAACCTTGGTTTGTGAGGATGTGAGCAAAAGAATAAGTTAATCTAAGATAGTCTTGGTTGCTTTTAGGTAAAGACCTTTAGAGTAAAATTTTATAGACAGTTTGTGTGCCCATGCAGCCAAGGGAGGCCTTTACAAGAGTTTGACAGTGTGTCTCTGCCGTGTGTTATACTTGTGGCATTAAGATTTGGTTGCAGATGAAACAATTCAGGAGCAAGAGAGTGTCCAAGTGTGCGATTCAGCAACTCTAGCTGGTGGGTTTGTTTTGAACTGCCACCACTCTTCATGTAAATAATTTCCTCTCTCATGTGATTTATATAGTGCATTTGTTTTTAAAGTTATCATACTTTGCACCGGTCAATTATACAAATTAATTTACCAAATGTCAGCCTAGTCTTTGTTAGTGTCTACATTATTAAGTATTTTCTCAAATTCTGTTTTATCTACTCCTTCTTTTTAGGCATCATTTGCACATTTAATAAGTGTTATCAAATCCAGAACTGCAATGACTCTAAAACCTTCTTGTGATTCTTGTGAAAACCTACCAGATGCCTTAGCACAGCTGGTACTTTCTTCTCTTGTTACTCTTCTGTTACTTAGTGTTTTAAATCAAAATACTCTGTATAATACAGTGCTGCTATTCTTTGCCACTGTTGCTTGTTTAAAAAGCACCAGGTTAAAGACACCCTTGTTAAAACCCATTAAGAATGATTCATTGAAAATAAATAATCTAAGAGGTAAAAGGTAAGAATGAAATCATGAACATGCAAGTCTTAACTGTACGTTTTCTATAGAGTTAATGCATGAATGATTGCATTTGTTCAATGGAGATACACTTTCTGTGATGAAGCACTTCCTGATATTCACCCGGCTAACATAGCTAATTTTAAAAACAGGAAGAAATCAAAGAGCAACTTTATTTTTTTATAGATGCATTTGAGTACCTACTCAAAACACAATAATCACCATTAAAAGGAGAGATAATGGAGAGGGAGGCTGCTCAGGAATCCTATTGCTTTTCTAACCTTTAACACGCTGAAATGAAATAAATTGAACAAACTGCCATATCACATTTATAGTTTTTGACATGCTAGAAAGTCATGCCAAAATGTATTCAAAAGTGAACTCTTGCTGTTTGTCTTTTCCTCTTTCCCTAAGATCTCAGGATGTTTTTTTAGTTGGTCAGCAGTTATCAACTTCTAGCTTGTGCTCAGGTCTCGGAAATCTAGCAAGGCTGTGTTATCAGTACTGGGATGGAAGATGGTGTAAGTCTTGCCTCTGGACCAGAATTTCCTGAAATCATTGTCCCAATGGATGGTATGGTGGCGCAGTGGTTAACAATGCTGCCTCTCAGCTTTGGGGACCAGTGTGAAATTCTGGACCTGGGGTACTATCTGTGTGGAGTTTATATGTTCTTCCTGTGTTTTTGTGGTTTTTTTCTGGGGACTCCAGTTTCCTCCCAGTCCAAATACATACTGGTATATTAATTGGCTTCCGGAAAAATCATCCCTGGTGAGAGTGTGTGTCTGTGTGTGCCTTGCAATGGACTGACATCCCATCCATAGTATACTCTGCCTTGCATCTGCTGCTTTTTGGGTAAGGCTCTGTCTTAGCCCTGAATTTGATAAAGTACTAAGAAAATGAATGGATGGAAATATCCCAGTGCAGTGACATGCAGGAAGACCATATGACTCTGTTTTGAGACAGGACAAGATTTTACATATTTGAGTGTATCTGCTTTTTGAAGTACTTTAGGTAAAGATCTTTTTAGAATGCAATCCCTGAAAGGTAGTGAAGCTGTACTAATATATCACCCAATAAATGACTAAAATTGCATGTATTCATAGCCTTAACGTAGTAAAATATTTCCCTCCAATTAGTTTAAACAGATCAACACATGATGTACAGTATGTGGATAACAATATAGGCAAGTGCAGCCTCACTGATCATATGAGGATGTGAGTACAAGTTGGGTAATTGTTGTTTAATGACGTTGCTGAAACAAGAAACAAGAGTATGATATCCAGCAAGTTGGAGAAAAGTAGGACAAAATATCCAGTTTGAGACCATTACATTTATGCATCTAATACTGTACATTTGCCTAGCTCTTGCTCACACTGAAAGTCATTATCACAGTTTCACAGATCGGTCTATTACCTCTATTATGCCATAGTAAAAGAACATAAAAAGGATTAGTGATCATATGTAATCATTAACAAATCAGCTGCTTAGAGTTTTTGTTTTAGCTTCTTTTGTTTCTGTTGCACAGACACTATTGTTATTAGGGACAGTAAGCGTTTTGTCCTTTTTAAGAGATTGGAGGCACCATTGTTCATGATATAGATTCTGTAAGCATGTGTGAACCAGTCTGTGGCACTAGCAACCATTTTCAATTTTCCTCCTCAAATTGATTGCCCAGAGACAGATCTCGAGACAACAGATTCAACGGTTTGCTCTGCATTTCTTGAATTAGCTGCTGTGGTCTTGTGATAGCTCAAATGCGATTCCAGTTTCATTTCTCCTTTGAGGTTTGAAGCTGTTCCTGTTTCTTCTAAAACATCCCATTGAATTGCCGCAGTTGTATCAAGTAAATTCCATTACCCTGAACCTGAAGGTGATGTTGAAAAAGGTTCAAAAGTCCAAATACGTTCACATTTAGTTGTGAAAAAATGTACAGATCATTGAAATTACACTGACATTTGTTATTAACACTTGATACTGTTTTTATTGCTAGAAAAATGTAATTACAATAAATGACGCACACCACTGAAAAAGAAAATGTCAAGAAGATAAATGTATAAATTAGTCACAGATAAACTGTAAATGAATATCACAAGTGTGCAGAACAATTCCTATTGATGTACTATTTAAAGCATTCTATTGATTTTAAAAGGGAACTTTATGCACTTGTAACTGAAATCGTAATATTTGATTAGTTTACATGTGAGATTGTGGTTCTTACCTGAATGAAATAACACAGAAATTGCTTGGCCAGGCAATAAGAAAGGCAGTTCTTGGGTTAAAGACGACGGCATCAGTCTTCTCCTCACTTGAGGCCAGCCAGAGCTCACTAAGGTGTACTCTGTGCTTCAGCCTGTAGCTTGTATTGGATCTGCATGGAAATACAAAACCTCTGTTTGTCACTTGTCACTTCTTCTCCACATAGTTAATGTCCTAAGTTGTTGATGATGATGTTATGCTAGCATGGCATTTAAGAGTCCATTTCTTTAAGTTCAGTATCTCTGTACAACTGTGTTGTTACTATGTGTGGCATAAAGTACACCATTGAGTCTCGGAATAGCTGATATACAGTAGTTCATTCAGTAACCAGTAAGATGGAAAAGATAAAGGCTATCCAATCACAGGGATAACAGCTTTACAATTTATTATACTTAAGTACTTTGAATTGAAGGAAAGTTTGCAGACAATTGGGATGTGTTGGTATGAGCACAGAAAACAGGAACAAAACAAGAGTACAGCAGGGGTTTCCCACACTCTAGTGATGAAAACGGTTCTGATGTTTATATTTGAATCAGGGAAGGGTCTCATTTCAAATACAATTTGCACTGCTGAATTTTTTGTTAACCTAAAATACTACATTTAATTCCCACTGTGTTCCTTGTCCTATGTGTTGCTGATCATGTTGAAAAGACCCCTGAGTTGACTTAGTTCATTTTAGGATTTTGAATACCTGACATTGTGCTCTCTGTGGTGGTATGACATCAAAAGAATTGCCCACCTTCTATTGTGGATCTATATGTCTGTGAACCATTTTGAGCTGATGATGGACGTTCTCATTTCTCAGTCTAAATTTTACAGGATGAATGGAAATTAATACCACAGGCTGATATTTAAAATTAAACAACAACTTTCTTGCCTTGCATATATACTGTAGATATTGAAGTTACAGATTGAACAATTTTGTTTTAAAAAAATATGCTTTTCAGCAGCACTTTAAATTATCTATTTACTTCTGACCATAGCTTTAAAAGTTCCCTTAATATAGCATCTGTCCATCCATTTTCTGACCACTTCTTCCACTTCAAGGTGATGGTGGATTCACCCTGGATGGGACACCAGTCCATCACAGGGCACGCACAGACATAAACAGAAACATGCGCTCACTCACACCAAGGGCAATTTTCCCAGAAGCCAATTAACCTACCAGCGTGTCTTTGTACTGTGAGAGCAAACCGGAGCACTCTAAAAAAAAGGGAACACACATGCAGACAACATCCCAGGGTCCAGAATTGAACCCTGGACCCCAGCACAGCAAGGTAGTAATGCAGCAATGCTAACTACTGCACCACCCTCTTCAGATAGCAAGCTTTGTTAATTGTTGTAACATTTTAGTATAATTTTCACTACATTATATTGTTGTTCTTAAAATTATTTCGTTCCACATTAATTTAATTTTTTACACAAGCAGGTTTTAAGTGCTGCATACATTTGCAGTTCTCATACTTACAGTACACTAGGGGAAAAAGATAAATACAAATGCCTACAGTAATCTGATTGAGAGTTAAAGAGGAACAGAATTAAAAAGACCCTGCAGCCTTTGTAAACCATCAAATCCAAGATGTTACTGTGATGGTTAAGCAATTAATTAAAATGAGTGTTATCATTGCTTCTTGTGTTAGGACTTTACAAAATAAGCTTCTAAGAATTTTTTTTGTTTTGTTTTTAAACAGCTAATACCTTCAGAGTAACTGTGGCCATTTTCCTCTTAAGCCACAGTTATTCTTCACTGAAATAAATGAGCTGCCAGGAAAGATTCCATCACAAGCCTGCTTTCGATGCAAATAGTTTAGTAATAGTGAACAACAAGATATGCGATTTGTACTTTCCTCAACAGAAACAGCTATGTTCAGCTACATAAATCCACGCATGAGTAATAGTGTTTCTTTGAGGCCTTCCCACATGTGACAATCAGTGTAGGAGGTTAGCCAAAAGACAGAAGAGCATAAGAGCTTTACAAGACAAACTGGATCCGACATGTGATAGAAGGAAGAGCTGTTACTTCCCAAAACAAAACAGAAAGTGTCAGCACTCTTCAGAGCTTTTCCTGCTCTTAACATTTTTGGCACTACATAAATGAGGTCACCAAAACAGTGTTTCTTGGTAAAGACATTGATTAGAGAGCTAACCATTTTTATAGTACATTCTTTCAAATCATTGTAGTAGTCTCCTCTGCTTAATCAGTTGAATTTAAAAATTGAAATGTCTTTTTCCAGTGTTAGGTTACTCTTGTGGATTTTATATGTTATCGTCTGATTATTTTCTCTGCTTATTTTTAAGACTTTTAAATCAGACCTACTTGTGCTGTAGCCATAATCCATTCAAATTTGGAAGACCTAACAATTTGGAATTGCAGAACCAAGACACTACTAATTTTGTAGCTGATTCCCAGAGGACTCTGAATTAATACTTCAGACTCAGCAGAAACACCCAGACCATGGCTTAAATATGGACAGGTGCAAAATGTTGCAGGAACTTGCAGATCATATATTAAAATAGATGGTATTGAACTAGAAACTGCATGATCTAGGGATTTGTGTTGGTCCATCACATTCTTGAACTATACAATACATAACCATAGGAACATAGACCAAGGAACACAAGTGGAAATCAGGTTTAGGAGCATTCAAGGTGGAAAACAGAAAACAATTCTGTCAAAGGTTTGTAGGAGTCGTAGAAATGTAGCAAATGGGAGGAAGATGTTCTTAACGGATTCCATTTGTTAATTTGCTTCCATTCTTGTTGTAAAAGTGAATATTTAGTGACAGCAAATTGCAAAATGCAAATGGAAGCCATCTCCACCCATGGTGGGGTAAGTGTGTGAAACAAACTATTCCCATTTCCTTGAGATCTTTAGTGCCCTAACTCAAAACTGTACCAAGATTAAGTGGACTGCAAGAGCTAAAAAAATATCACTGTCCTAATCCCTCTACAGTTTCTTCAATATCCAACATAATAATAAGAAAATAATATTTTGCAAAGCACATGAAAATAAGTTGGGAAAATGCAGAAAACATTTTTAAATTTCATTTGATTTTCCATTCTGGGGTAGTGTAATCTGACGTTTTCATTAGTTAAGTGTTCAACAACCGGATAATTTAGTTATGTTGACATGTAGACTAAGTTAAATTTATACAGAATTTAGACTTCTGTTTCTTAATTATATATGTTATATTCATGAACTTATCTGGCTTTGATTCTGAGAATATCTGAACCATAAAGTGAAGAAAAAATCCCCCATTTACTTTTCGTCAACTGAAAAGTAAGTCATTGCGAGACTTCTGATGTAAAAAACAGTAAGCTTAATCATACCGTTTTCTGTGGAGAATGATACAATTTGCATGTACTCCAGAACAAAAAAAGTTGCCAGCTTCTTAATGTGCTACTTAAAGTAAAACAATGCCTTATATTCCTCTCTTGTTTTCTTAGACCTGTGAATTTTAAAAAGTTAGCCTCTTCCTGCATATTTATGTCGCTCACGCTTCACCACCTACTAACACACCTACAAGTTTTTGACAGGACACCCAGTGGAAAGGAGGTCAGGTCTTGTCAGCGTGGCTGTAACTTTTTGATCTTTGCAAACTGTATTTATGACAGCAGGTGAACACGCAAGAGGAAATTCCACTGCCAGACTCTCTGGTCAACACAGTCAGAGCTTATGGAAGCCCACTCAGTTATTCTTAAGGCATAAGAGTTAGTGCAGCTCTGTTTCTTTAACATAAAAAGAAGAAGAAGCCTTTGACTTGAAAATCGGTTTATTTTTAATTCTGAACACTCATTAGAAATTAAACTGAACCTGTCACTCTCTTTGCATTGGCATTAACATACTGTAGAACTTCAATCAGAATAAAATATGGATCTGTGTTCTCTTTTCTACAGATATTTAATTTCCAAAATGCACTGTATATGTACTGTAGGGAAAATCCACACATTGTTTGTTTTTCTTAAAGCTGTGTATTCAGCACTTCCTGTTAGCAAAGAAAAAATGTTATTTTTGTAAAATTAACACCCACTTTTTTCAACAGTTTATTTTTAAATTTTTGAAACTTGGGTGTTTACCTTAATTCAGAAATTCTTAAAATTCCACCCTAAGTGATATGGTTAAACCTGGGGTATTACAGTTAAAAACAATAGAAATCCCCCTTTGAGCCAAAACACGAGACAGTTTTTTGAGTCACCTGTTGCTTCAGTTCAGCAACAGAAGGATTTCCCCATTTCTATTTACAGAATTTCACTCGTTCCCTGTAGTATTAGCCAATAGCACATGGGGAGCTACACTATTCACTTTCAATCTTTTGGAAATAGCCACTGTCAGTTAATGCCTCCTATGTCTACTGCTGTAGCCGAGCAGAAAAAGAAATCTGAGGGAAAATGGAGGTAAAAGGTGGAATTAATCTGTTATTTTTTGTCACAACTTTTGTCACAATGTGTTTATTTCCTATATGTTTTTGTAAAAACCTAATATTATTATCTGCACTGTGCCATTGGACAGTATAAAGTATACACCAGTGTACATATGATTATTGGTGATGGAGTCTTGAAAGACCACTACAATATAATCCAATGAGCAATGTTGCTTGTTTTTTCCTGTTTCAAGTCAATCTGTATTTTGTCTTCTTTTTATTACAGGTTAACATGTTTGCAATAACATGCTAACCATGAATTTCAACAAAACTTTGAATATAAGGCCATTCTCCTTAATCAAAACATTAATACTATCTAAAAGATATAAAGCTTAGAAAACTTTATGGTTCATGGTGCTGTGAAATTAGTGTTACTACGTGCAGCGAGGATATTGTTATTGTAGTGCATTCTCTGTGTCACTTCAGTGCAAGTTATTTGCCTTGAAATTTTTAATTTCTTTTTAGATTCTACAGAATAAACAATATAGAAAATACAGTTATGTAAAGTAAAATTCATTTTAAGTTGGAAGAATGGTAGTGTCATATACCACATCAATGGCGGGTTGTCAGGATGCACACATCTTGGTTTCTGTAGCTTTAAGTGGACTAGAGAGCCCCTGACTCCCACTCTTGAGGGGACACTGATCACCGATCCATTGCAGGAATTATCCCCTGCAATGCTGTTCCTCTCTTTTACATCTGGATGGACTGGGGAAACTGGAGTAAAGTACCTCTCTCAAGGGTACAACAGCAGTGTCTGCCATGGGCACTTGATCTCACAACCTGTCAGTCCAAAGCCTTAGCCCACTACACTACACCACCACCATGATGACAGGTGCTTTAAATAAAATCACATTATTTGTATTATTACAATAGAAATGTTATTTTAATGAATCAGGACTGGGAGCAGCTGCCCTCTTTCCAGGTCCTAGAAAGGAACAGGGTCTTCTGGTATCAACTTAATTTGTCTCAGCTACAACTTTTTTAAAGTAAGCGAGGAGTCTGAGCTTTCAGTAGATTCTTGTATGTAAGACGAGTGTAAATCTCCCTGCTCCTGCAAGGCATCTGTCACGCCCTCTGCAGCCAGAGGGCGCTCCTTCTCTGTCCTTTCCCTAGTTTCCGGTCTGCTGTCCTTCCTGTCCCTCTCTTTCCCTTGCTATATATTTCCGGGTCTTGCACTCTGTCCTCGCTCAGCATTGACGTTCGGATGTCCTGAGACCCGCCTAGCACCAGGGCGCCCCACGTCCGCTCCCTGAGGGCATAGGTTTCTATACGGCATTCCTGAACTCTTTGCACTAATGAGCCCGGGCCTTTTTTCCCGTCTCGCTGCTACGCATATGGGTCTTTTTCCGCTCTCTGACCAGGATCTCTGTCATGCCTGACTTTTACAATGTCAAGATTTCAGAGAGGGGTGATGTCACTTCAGTAAGAGACATCAAGTTAGAATTAGACATCTACATACTGTAGAGGCTCTCTGTGAACATGGGTGAGAATAATTGATATCATTTAGAAAATCCTTACCTTAAGAAAACAGTTAAGAATCAGAAAGTCACCTTCCCTGAGCTGATTTAGATTTAGACTCAAGACTAATATAGACTTTTTTAGAATAATTTTTATGTAACCGGTTATATAAAACCCCTGCCCCTTTGCTTTCCCTATACAGTATATTCCGAACCTTCAATATAATTGTTTAGTTCTACCATCTCCTCTCATTGTGTATTCATTGATATTTTTTTCTGTCTCTGTAAAGCACTTTGAGATGGCATTTTTAGAGGTGTTATATAAAATATATAAAATACAATGTATTATTAGTTTCCTAAGGTAAATGTACACCAAAGATTTTCTTACTTTAGTTTGGCAATGACCAGCACGTCGCTGAACAGGAACAAATGTCTCATTTTAGTCTTCGTTCCCTCTGACACCTGCACACACTCATCCAGGATCAGCTCTCCATTCTCACCGGCAAGGCCCAGCACAAAGGGACACTGCTCCACTGACACTGGGCAGAGCACGTTCTCCCTAGGAAACAACACAATGACAAATAGCCATCAGCACCTGTGTTGTCAATGACATTTATAGATTCAGGGCAGCTTCTTTGTCCTTTTATCACATTTCTTCACCAATGTGTGCTTTATGTGTGATGCTTTGACAGATTCACGTAGATTTTACCCAGCTAAAAAAAAAAAGTCAAAGGAGTCTGTGAGGATTAGAAGGTTTCCACACCTAAATGTCATTCCTGAAGCAATCAGTTGCTTCATTAAAACTAATCTAAAGTTTTACAGCATCTAAGGCAGAAATGTTTCTTTAAGGAATCTTGCTAAAAATGCAGGGGACAGCTCTCTAGAGCTGTAGTTGTTGACAGCGTGCTACCATGTTTGGAATTTTACATTTACTGGTTGATGGTGGGGATTGGGGATGGATTGCAGGAAAAAATGAAGAGGCACACAACTAGAAGCTGTTTGGTTTTTATAATCTTTGGACTAACAGCCATGTGAAGTTATTAGCAAATATAAAATATTGTTAAAAATAGAATCTTAAATTCTTGATATAGAGAGCCCTTTTGCTGTAAGAATATGAATCACTTAATTTCTTAATTACTTAATTTTAACACATATCCTGAAATAACCTGAATCTGAAGCTTGATCAATTAAGACAAAGCATATCTTCTATGTAAATAATCCACTTGTGTATCATTGGATCAGCTGAGGACTACTGTGTACCGCAACATCTCATGTTTATTTGGAATTTTAATAATTATGCTATGGTGTTTAAATCACTTCTTTTTTCCTTGCTGAACATCCAGCAATTTATTGTGTTTTTCACCTGGCTGTTGATCTTGGGTATATTATAAAATTATAGTTTTATTAAAGCCAGTGTGCAGTGTGATCTATCTTTGTACTGACTTGAAAAAAAACATCAAAGACAGGAAGTTTATGACTTTGCCTAGTCTGACTCTCTTGTTCCCGTAAATTGCGAATAAAAATAAATATAGCCATACTTCAAGGTTGTAATTTACTATATGAAGACCTACTGTATATTTACTCTAATTAAAGGGTTTTACAGTATGTACAAGTGAATTGTGACAAAAGTTAAATCTCCAGACGGCTAACATGCCTTGACCACAAACAAACTTAGCAAAGTTAAGATCACACTTATCACACTTCTCAATGCATCCCCTGCATTAGAGCAAGTCGGTTTTTCCCCTTTTGAGGCTGAACTCCCACTCTCCTTGAGCAGTCGACCTTTTAGCAACACAAACAATTCATTTTGGAGAAGCCTGACATCTGTGAGTTTCCCACATTCAGTAGAAGTAAGAACACTCATGTTTCTCTGATACATACTAAGATGGGCTTTCTGTCTAAACATGCTAGTTACATTTCTAGTCAATTCAACATTAGCTTTGTCATCCAATTGATCTGTCACATCATGACAAGTTTTTACACAATGCCTTGCAAAAGAGCTCAGACCCTTGCACAGTTTTCACATTTTGTTGCTTTATAGCTTGCAGCTCTACATTTTGAAACAGCAATTTAATATGTCTTACATACACAGCTTCCTCCACACACTCAAAGTAAAAAGGCACAGATCAGGATAAGGGTATAAAACATTTAAAAAACCCTTAATATTTCTTTGAGCATAGTGAAGTTGATCATTAAGTGGAAGACACCAAAACGCTCTACAGATCATGTTGTACCAGCTAACTGAGCAACCAGTCAAAGATTAAATTGGTTAGGGAGGCCACTGTGAGGCCAAGGGCAATTTTGAAAGGATTATGGAGTTAAGTGGCTGAGATGGGAGAAAATAGACTAGGGTCAAAGGCATCCTGATCACCCCAATGAAAAGAAAATGAAGAAAAAAACATTTCAAATACCACATGGGGTTTGCAACACAGCACCTACTGTATGTGATAATGCAAGTGTGGCCAGATGAGACACAAATGGAACTTTTTGGTCTGAATGCAAAATATTACATGTTAAACAAACCCAGTACAGTGCATTAATCAATTGGCCAACACTTACTGTAAGACTGATGGGATCGTAGCTGGATCAAAATCCTGGCAAATCTTAGTAAGTAAAACCTGCTTCAAAACAGGGGAAAAATGCATCCTTTATCAGGACACTTTTCCAAAGCACAAGGCCAAAACTACACTGGAGTGGCTTAAGAATTAGAAAATGAATGTCCTTAAGTAGCCAGACTCTGGACTTTAATCCTATTGAGAATTTGTGAAAAGAGTTCAAAGCCAGTGTGTGCAAAGTTGGTAAAGATTGACCCAAAAAGACTTTAAACTATAATAGCTGCCAAAAGTGCTTCCACCTAGTATTGCCTCAATGAGAGATTAATTCTACAATCAACGTAGTTTCGTTCTTGATGTTTCTGTGCTGATTTTGATCATATTTAACTTCTTTCACCCATAAGAGTGGCTAATTTGAACAATTAAGTTTCACCCATTCTAATTTTCTATCAGATTCAAGTCAGGCCTTTGACAGGGCAATTTAAGGACATTTTTTTTTCTTATTTAGCCACTCTAGTTTGGCTTTAGGTCATTGTGCTATAAAAGGTACATTTTCCATCTTTAGCAGACTGAGACAATTTTCCATTAAGATTTGCCTGTATTTTGCTCCTTCTATTTTAACTCAAGTCTGCCCAGTTCATAGTGAAGTGAAGTAGCCTCAGACTACGCTTGGCAGTAGAGAATGTATAGACTGCATGATACATTGTTTTGGATTTGTTCGAGATGTACAGTAATGCTTTACGTTTAGATCCAAACATTTCAATTTTGTCCAGTGTAACCACAAAATATCACTTAAATACTTTGATGCAGGATAGTATGGTGCTGCAGTGATTAGCATTGCCTCCATGAAACTATAGACCCTGGGTAAAATACTGGACCTGTGGTGCTATCTGTGTGGAGTTTTTATCTTCTCCTCATGTTCATGTGGATTTCTGACGGGTGCTTCGTTTTCCAGCTACCTGCACCTGCCTATCCAGGGTCCATCTTGCCTTGCATTTTTTGCTTACTGGGATAGACTCTGGCTCCTCAATGACATAGAATACAGAGTCTCTGCAGTCTCTGGGTGGGTAAAATTCACCTTCCACCTTTTAAGAATGGACCACACTATGCATGAAGGGATATTCAAAGCCCTTAAAATTTTTATTTCTTTCTCCTGACCTGTGCCTTTCTGCAACATTATCCCTGATTTGTTTTGAAAGCTCCTTGGTCTTCAAAGTTGAACTTTGGTTGATATTCACTACCTGAATGGATAAATTAATACTGAAATCTTTTAAGCCACTATAATTGCGAGATTATTCTACCATGTGGCCTTTTTCAGTAGTTTTGTACACCAGAACCAATTTATATTTGTTATAGCAAAGGGGGGTAGATACTTCTTTCACCCTTAAAAGTATTCAATTTCAGCATTCAAGTTAGAATTAAAATAATAGATTCAATTTAAAAACATATAAACATCATATGTAATTCAATAAAACAGCACAATTGTGGAAGTGGCTGAGTACTTTTGCAAGGCACTGTGCCGTCCTTTCTTAATCTGTGTTGTCAAGATGTGCATGAGAAAACAAATAAAACCAAATTTGAAATAACAGTGGGCAAAGCAAAATTCAGAAGGCAGCTTTCCAATGCAAAAAAACCTTTTCAAAGTGGTTCTCTTTACCTACTCCATTTTAGGTCAAATTTGCAGCTATATGTGGATGAACAAGGTTAATCAAATTTGATTAAAGGCCGGCTGCAGAGCCACGTGATTTTCACAAGGCTGCATGCTGCATGCATTTTATTTCCGTCAGTGGAAAGGATCCAGCTTTTGCTATATGGAGAGCTGCATTTAAGATTCCTGGAAACACACTGGCAACTTGTTCTACCAGTTATACAGAAACACTAAAGCAGGAACAGACTGAAATCAAATTAACTGAAAATGTCTTGAGAGCCTGACTGATCTCAGTAAGTCAACAAGGTTTCAGTGTCATTTCTCAAACTTTGATATGCCATTTTCAACTCAGAGTCATCTCTTAACCTGTCTCAGCTATTCCAGGTTAACCAGTGCACAGCTGTTCACTTATAAGTGCCAAGTGTTCATTAGGATTATTGTCTCTCTGAAACTGCCTTGATTTTTACCTGGATACGGAGGCGGTGGTTAAAGGAATCTATGCAAAACATGAAAAAAGTTCAATGTACACCAGGTAATCCCCCTACTGACCCACAGTGACCTATTTTTAAGGCAAGAGGCTTTTCGTACTTTGCATATACTGTACATATATACCAGCACATAATCCTCACTTTCACAGTGTTGAAATATGCTACTGTATATAAAACTATTGCAGCTCTTTGTTCATTTAGGCTTTGACATTTCAGATTCTTGCAAGAAAAGTAGTCAAAGCATATGTTTTCCCCAATATGGATTAACTTCTAAATTCAGAAGAATTACAGCCCAATTACAGGACATGTCATGAAAATGCCCTTTTCTTTTTTACACTATTTTAATTGGTTATTTTTTTATAAATGGAGCACTGCAAACATTTATGCCTTAATTGGCTTGTGTTTGTAAAGAAAAACATTTTGCTTTCCGGAGCCTACCAGGCTTTGTTTAAAACAGAATTATGGCACAATAAGGTACTGTGAGGAAACAGTTCCCTCTGACTAATTAGTCATTTTTGTGATAAAAGCATGTTCAGTCATTTGAAGTGATGGCCCTGACCATAGAGCATGTGAATGTTTTCCTGTTGCCAGAAGCAGTCAAACACCTGCAATATTATATCTGAATTACTGAACATTAAATAACCCTCAAAAACTAGAATAAGTTCACTGCTTATAGCGCTCATCACTTAATGTGTGTCTACTAATTTATAGAAAAGCTTAATATGACTTAGAGATGTCTTTCAATGATAATTTGGCTTGCTATTATTCACCTATATTTTGATTGTGTTATGTCATAAACCATGACATTTTTGATAGGAGGTCTGAAGGTTGTTTTTGATAAAAAGATGCTTTAACATACACCAGCTACATT